CCCCTTGACATGCGAAATGCACATCCAGTGAATACCTACACAATGAGAGTTCAGTACTTTGTTACTGAAACTCCCTGTATGCCCATTCTGTAACTCTTGTGTAGGATTCCATTGTTTTGGTTACTGCTGAGCTTGACATTATGTGAATTGCACCTACGATATGGCCCTATGTCTGGGGTTGTGGAATACAATAATAACTTGAAGCAACCAGGAGTTCAACAGAGGAAAGGTTTCAGGATAAGCTTTCTGCAAAGTAAATTGCTAAAGTTATATTTTATTTCTTATTGTTAATATTTTCTTCTGTAAATATTGTGCTCCTATGTGAAATTTAAGCGCAATATACTAATTTTCCATAAAGTATGTGTTTTCTCTTTGCTGGTCTTCAGCCTGACTTCTGAAATCACTTATTTACGGTTAAATGCTGTTCATATTTGATTTCAGTGGGGTTATTTCTGATCAACGTTCTAGCACTTTATGCATTTTCTCAGCCTACAGATCTGTCAGTTCCGATTTGTTCACTATTAGGAAATGAAAATTGAATAAGAAGGTTCTGTGACAATATAAAAAAAGACAATAAAAATAAAAAATTATGATCAAATACGTCCCTCAGGATTCACTGCTAACAATTCACTTCTGATTTTGTTTGTTTAGGTACTTCCCATCAAGGTGGCTATTCCCATGATGCTGTGGTCCACGCATTACAAAAATGTGGCATTCGTCATATTGACACAGCAAAAAGATATGGCTGTGAATCTCTCCTCCAAAAAGCCATCAAAGAAAGCGGTGTGAAGCGGGACGACCTCTGGATAACTACCAAACTGTGGCATAGTGATTATGGCTATGAAAACACAAAAAAAGCCTGCTTCGAGTCATGTGAAAGACTTGGTGTTGAGTATCTTGGTATGAATCTTTACATATAACTCACTTATTGCACCTTCCATGTGAGTATTTGCAAAGATGAATGAATTCCTGAAAAAAATAAGGTAGTACAGATAGATCACAGAAACTGAATTCTGCCTTTGTTTACACATTTGCAGATTTCTTCTTCTGCTTGTTCTCTAGGAAGTTCACATACATATAATTGAGAGCACAGAATTTTGTGTTGTTGCAAATGTTTTAAAACAAATCAAGGTATGTTTTGTAAAGGTACATTTCATTGTTAAATTGATTTGAGGATCCACTACATGAGTTTTATGTATGTACATCCAAAACCCATGAAACAAGGATTCATAAACTCTACAATAATTTATTACTAACAGAGCAACAAAAATGCCTAATTTCTTGTGTGGTCTGTTGAATCTCAAGGAATGGGAGTCCTTTCTAAAATTTATTCTGTAAGTCTATTAACTTTTAAAAATTCTGAATAACAGCCTTTGGTTTGGTCTGTCTCATGCAATATACTTTGGGGAAAATGTTAGAAGTATCTGCAAGACTTTAGAAGACTATATCTAACTAACACTGAATTAGACTTACACACTTTCAAACTTACCCTGATTGTAAATTACTTCTAGTCAAAGATGTGATATTGTTACTTCCTTATTAGACAGGCAAAGAGCTGCAGTAGTGATGCCAATTAGCTCTTTGCAACAGATCATAGGAGAGGAAGTACCTGATAAAAATAAACATGATTTTTTTAAAATGCTTTTGCTGCTTCTTCCCTAGCTGGAATAATGAAAAGAAAGTGGAGGCAGAGAAAGATTAATTTAAAGTAATAATCTATAATAATGACACTGGTGGAGATAGTTTTTATGCTGATAATCAAGGTATAATTGACCTAACCATCAGACATTATCTGTCAGTGTCCTGAAAACCACCATTTTGCTTCTCTTTCCTCACCCTGTCCCCCTGTTACCAATAAATAGACTTTAATGAGGAAGTGAACAGTTTTTGTGAGGTACTAATTTTGCAGAATTGATGGGATGTAATATTAATGGCACCCGTGTGCTATATATACTGGCTTTTTTGCTTGGGTACTTTGCAAGATGAAGGGAAAAAACCCTGTATCTGTTAAAGATGGAGGTATTTGTATACATGACTTTCGCTCTGTTGTTTATGGAAATGTATCCCTTAACTTCCTGCACAGGTACAGAATAATTCAAAATGAATTAAAATCTCCTTTTGTCTGTTCCATGCAAATATAGGTCACTGGAAGAAGACTTTCATAAACAACGTTTAAAGCCCTTTCTCCTCTAAATTAAGAAATAACATGTTTCCTCCTCTCTGCTTTCTGCTTGTTATGTTTGCTTTCTTTTTTCTTCTGCTTGGTATAGCACTGGTTCTGAATGTCGATGAGAGGAAAACTTGACTCACTTCCAGGAAATCATTTTCAGTGATTCGTTTTAGTACTCTAATTTGCTTTTATTTTCTCAGGTAGTAGGCTGCTTAAAGTAGGTGCTCACAGAAATACTCAGTTTACATATTGCTGCTAAACAGAAACTTTGTCAGTTATGTTCAGCTCTGAGACTTATTTTGCTCATATTATTAAGACAAATTAGGTATTACACCTGCCTGTGCAATTTGCTTTCATACCAGATTTTTTCCTTTTTTTTTATTATACCATCACCTGTCTTCACCTCCTTCACCTTTCTTCCACTAATGTGGAGATGTCTGAAAAATTTATAAAGCTCTTCCTGAACCACCACTTAGTCTGACACAGTGACCTAAATCAATGCTGGCTTCAGCTTGCTTTAATTTGACAATTTGTAAAGTGCGATGGCTTATGAAATACTTTACGTGCACTTCACTGATCTGTCAGTGACAATGGTGACCTCCTCAAGAAGGATGGGATGGCAAGTGGAGTAATGGTTTTGGCTGATTGAGTTTAATCTTTGTTGGATCAACTCTGCAGACCATTTTTGTTAAACACAGTATGATCTGCAATCCTGTGAAAGAGAGAAGGTTGAGTTCTATGTTTAGTGCTATATGTGCTGGTGAAGTAGACCCTCAGAGGAGGTACAATATATGGTGTGTTTCATGGGCTTCATAGAAAGTATCATGCTTTAGGGAGTCCTATACCTCGTGTCTGAAAGCACCCAGCTGGAAGGTGCTATTGGAAGGATTTTTAAGCAAAAAATGGCAGTATCTTGAAATGTGAACTTTTCAAGTGTTTCAAGAATGCTTAGAGTAAGAGATTTTTGTTGGAAATTTTGAGGGTTATCACAAGTCTACCAAAAGTAACTGGAATGCAGAAGATTGGCTTGAAAATAGTTATAAACTTGTAGAACTAAGCTTAGATATCCTAGCTCTATTTTCATTCATACCTGCATTTTAAGTCCCTTTTCTGCTGACCAGTCTATACCACAGAGAGGACGTGAAATCTGTGACAAGGAAAGATCTGGTAATAACAGGGCAATTTCTATCCAAGCTTATTTAGAAAAGTAAATTCTTTAGTTACAAGCATGTGTTAAAGTTGGCAGGTTTTTTGTGAAATAGGAATGTGAGGTAATGGTGTATGAAATGTACCTAAATCAGAATTTCCTGATGTCATTATATGATATTAACCAAATATGTGGTGCTTTGCAGCATTTCTGTGAAGATACATTGCTCATATAGAAAATTGAAAGATCCTAAATAATATATCTGTGAAGTTAGACCTTGATGTTGGAGGGAAAGTTAGTCATTCAGAAGACTGCAAAAAGAAGAATCTGTAGAAGCCCTGGCAGCTAAATGTGCAGCTAAGCTCTTTGTTCTAAAGAAGGTCCTGATAATTTTCTTGAGGATCCTTAATGGGCTATACAATCCATCCATGCAGACTTGAATTAGAGACTTGGGAAATAATCTAACATGAATTGATAAATCTGTGCATTAGCAGTATATAGAATGCCAGCTGTTGAAACAGTTGAAAGCAGTCACAGCTTTTTAAGAGAAAAAGTGTTCCATGTAAAATACTACTATGAAACCTTTTCAATAAACTTTTTTTTGGGCAAATGGTATTAGGAGAGCAGTGTTCCAGGATTTTTATTTGAATCAGTAGATTATATATCCATGAGAAGCTGGAAATTTGTATTATTTGTGGGCAGCGGTTGTAACAGATATTCTGCTCCTTGCATTTTCTAAATATGGTCCTCAACTAGCAGTCACAGTAAACCAACATGAAATGGCAGCAAATCTTACAGGTTTGGCAGTAGCAGAATACATTCCTTGGGATTTGGATCAAACCTCCAAAGTAACTTCTTGAATGTGGTTTGTGGGTTACCAAATTCATCAACTATTTTATTTTCCTTTTGACTGTTCCGGTGTGTTGCGTTCAGGCAAATTTAACGTATCACAAATCCCCAGCTGGAGCTGGACAAATGTTTTACAAGCATATTCAGTGTAATAGATAAATCCCATGAATGATAACACACCAAGTTTGGATTGTGCATGAATTCAGAATACTTTGGAGGTTAGTTCACATTGATCTAATAGAATAAAAATCAACAACAACAACAGAGGTTGTGCAGGAAAGAAAAATACTTCATGTACACACTAAGTGCAGTGACAATTGAGAAAAGCAGGGAAAATGCAATCATTGCATTAATGTAACTGTGCTAAACATTGAAAAAATATTGTTTTGCTGTTAGGTTTGATATGAGCCAAGGCTTGTTCTTCAAAACTAGGTTTGTTATAGTGAGTTTTGACCTTTTTATTAATTTATTATGTTTCTGCATAGTTAAGCAGTTCTTACTAGTCTGATTTGAGGAATATAACAAGCAGCAATTAAAGATATGTTATTCTTCCATTTTGACGTGAAGTAAACTTATACCTACATATATATGACATTTGCTTTATCCAAGCAAAAAAAGTTTAATTTAAAACGTGGCAGTGTGCATGCAGTAAGTACTGACAATGGCATATATAATTTTGGAGCAAAATGAACACTTGATATTAGCAATTCCTAATGCTAATCCTTGGGATTACATCTAATATAAGTCAGTGGAAATTTTAAAAGATACTTTATTGGCAACACAACTAGAGTAGTCCTGAGTTCTGAACATAACCTTACTAAATCCTTTAATCTATATATCTAACCTAATTTTAATCTATATATTAATTATAATTGATATATTAGTTTTCACTGAAATGTCACATAAATTGGTATTTATTCCAATACCATATATTGGTATTTATTCTTAATAAATACAACTTCTTTCTTCAGAGCAATTAGAGAAGAAGTAATTATTCACAGATCAGTGATGAATAAGAGTGCTTTGTGGTTTTTTTACTCTCTTCTAAATTGGGAGTGGATTTTATGTATATAAGGGCAAAGAATGAGCAACTTTCTCTTTAAATGTGATGTAAATCCAGGTGCTGCAAATCATCATATATAAGTGATATTTGCTTGTCTGAGCAATTGTGTTTAAAAGCCTGATGGGTTACTGATACCAGAAAGTGCAAATTTAGCTCAATATTTTTGTGAATCACCCAAAATAATTTTTTCTTCAGTACATCTGTAATGTATCTTGCTGTACAAAATTCTGTGCTGTTGTAATTAGATTCTTAGTGTAAGTAAAATACCGTCTTTAACACTGTTGCAATGATGTACCCAAATGGAAACCGGTGTATTATAGTGAATTTCATGTTACCTTTTCCTCTTAAATCGAGGCTGAATTTGTATTTATAGAGGTGGAAAGCTAATATACCAGCCCAGTGGTATAGTAGTCATTAGCGCAGTCCTTAAATATGAATTAAAAAAACCATGGCAGAGCACCTGTGTTTTCAGAAAGGTGCTGTAAATGAATGGTGTGACGCATTCGAAGAACAAATAACTCTGCTCATTGCAAACAAGTCTATTTTTTTTATTTCTTAACTCTATATTTGAACTGCCAAAAAAGGAATATTATAAAGCACAAAGACAATGATTGCACATCTCAGTCATGCATTTATTTCCTTTTCCTGTTTTGTGTCAGACTAATGTATGCATCAAAGCCCAACACCTCTTTGACTGGGATACCTGCAGTTACCTGTTTAACCTGCAGTTCTAGTTTCATCAGTAGTAAATCTTAATTGTGTTTGAAATTGTGCTAACATTTCATAAAATCTAGTAAAGCATAATTTTGTTTCCTTAAAATAATATTTTAAAAAATGCTTTTAAAAAAAATCACAAATGCTGCCACAAAATTGTAGCAAAACACCTGCATGAAAGAATGTGCTGTAATTCTCAACAGAAATTCAGAAATTGAAGTTTTCTTTAGAAAGGGAAAAAAACAGACTCACTGCTGAGGTTGTATAAAATATCTATAGAACTGCCAAACATATTTATCTTCCATAAACATGAAGACTTGTGGCACTTCAGTAGTAGTCCAGTCTTAATTCCAGTGACCAAAATCCCTTTGATTTATGTGGGGCTCGTTATGTTTTGGAAGTTTAAGTGCATATGTGACTATGAAATTCTGATTATAGTGACCTAAAGCTGTGGCACATGTGCAACTTCTGTTACCTTTACTTGTTAATGAAATGTTGTAGATTCTGTTTATTAAAACTAAATGGATGTATACAGTAATGATCATGGAGTAATAATTGTAATTATTTTTATCATAATATGTTAGGGGCCATGATGGATGGAAAATGCTCTTTTGCATGTTTTTTTGTTTTGAGGTTTGGGTGGGATATTTTTGGACACTTTAATGAGTAGTCTGGTTCTGTTTCTTTTTTAGATCTTTATTTAATACACTGGCCTGATGCACATGTTCTGGGTAAAAGCAATCGAGAGGTCCGAGCTGAAACCTGGAGAGCGATGGAGGAGCTCTATGAGAAAGGTGATATAATAATGAAAATCTGTCTTGGCAGAAGGAATTATAGTGCATTTTGGGATTTGGGGAATTCATAGTGAGAGATGTTCGAAACCTTAATTTGAATAGGATGCTCATATTTCACTGGGATTTGGGTGTGTCAGTTATGTGAATCTCTTTGGAAATTGCAGGATTAGCATTTTTGTAAATTAAATGATTGCTTTGTGTCATTTGTAAATAAAATATTACCAAATTCTGCCTGTTAGATTAATGATGGTGTGCATACTTTCTTGAGGAAATCTACAGATATGCCACTATAGAACATCTTTGTAGTAGCCACCTCTGTTTCAGGTATAAATCATACTAAGTTTTACTTCCTTTTTTTTTTTTAATTGTATGATGCCATTTTCCAATTATCGTATATTATGGTATTTTATAGATCCATTTGTGTTTTAGAAAAGATCAACAAAAAACATGGCTAGATGAGGAACAAATACTCAGCTGTGGATTCTGGTACTGACTTTTGGGGGGAAAAATTCAAAGGGAGCTATTCTCTCAAGTTCTGATAACTGTCAATTTGATTTTTGGTGCACTGCAAACTTCAGTTTCTGTTCTTAGCGACAGGAAGAGTAGACCGCCCCAATCAAAATTTATCACGTAGATTTAAGAGGAGGGTTTTGCTCCTGAAGAATGCAGTATTATTAGAAATAACGCTGTAAGAGAAGATTCTGTCATGCAGTTCTTGGGGAATGTGGACCACCCTGTTTACAGTCTCAGAGAAGTTCCACACACAGGGAGAAGACTTCTTGGATGAAGTAGTCTGTCTGCTAACCCAGAGTTACTGAAATAGTGATTGTAGCAGGACAGTTGTACAAAGGCAGACTGCGTTCCACTACCTATTTTATCAGAGCAATAAATAAACCTGTCCTCTTACACTTCAACCCTTAAGTTACTTTCGGTCTGCCTCTGGAAACACAGTAGTAAATTATCTTTGGTACATCTTTTGGGTTTGTTTTTTATATTAAGTGTTAAGAGAAGTTGCAAAAAGTGTTTTCTGCCAGGTAAGGGATTATTACAACATTCAGTTTTTAAAGAAATACTTCATTGGCCTAATATTTCAAAGCATCAGTGACTTTTAAGATGGATTATTTGACAGGGCATTTCATATTTCCATTGAGAAGTTTTTTTCTGATGAGTATTTAAGTTAGTGCATGTAATTTGTGCCCATATATGCCATCCTATTTTACTGCAAACAGGTTGTATTTTCACCTTCTATTATTATTCCTATCCTATTAGCTTTATTCTGCTTTTGCATATGTGCTTGTGGTCTTTCCTGTGTTACACAACTCTTTCTGTCTGTATCTTCCTAACAGGAAAGACCGTGAGCTATTCAGTGGTCTTCCAGTAAGACACTGGAAATACCATCACTGGCCTCATAGGCAGAGGAAAAATTACTTTTGTTTTTTGTTCCTGTGTGTGATACCTCTTTACAGACATCCCACATTATATTTATTTTTCTTGCAATTGCATTTCTTCAACAGTTTTGTCAATTTGCATGTTGGTACCCTCAGTCTTTTTCTGAATTTAAGCGTTTTGTAGACTCATGACTCATTTAGCTGAGCTTAAGTTTTCCAACTCTGGTTGTCTAAATTACCTTAGATCATCTACAGAGGAAGGAAAATTTATTAGTCTGGTTGAATCAAGTGCCTTAGAACATTAACCTCCACATTTTTGCTTTAAGGGATACAGAATCTGGATGTCCTGACCATAACCATGTGTTACTGAAATGATACACAAATGTTAACCACTCTGGAGATGGAAATGCAATGATTCCCGAGGAAAATGTTAAATAATTTGTTTGCATGGTTAACCACTAGACTTTCCACTGAAGATTAAACACTTGCTGTGTATCTTTATGTGACTTGCTATGTGTTATGTGAGCAACATGTTAGCCTTGGTATGAATTGAATATAGGATTTGGTCAAGATCCTTACTTGAGGGAAAAAAATCATCTTCATTTATTGAGGGAAAAACTGTAAGTTCTATACTAAACACATGAGTTCTTTGTCTTCTCTGAACTTGACATTGGTTTTAGGTAGTCATTGATTCCTGTTTGCAGTCCTGTTGCTTTTTTTTTTTTAAGGAAATGTTCTGGGGAAAAAAATAGTAGAAACTAAAAGCTTCACATTTAAGGATTGCCTATTTAAACGAAAGTCAATTCAAAGAAAATACTGAAATTATTCAACTTGCTAGTGGGTTTAGCAACTAGCTATGCCCACACTGAAGAGTTTCTGAAAGTGCAGTGATAATAAACACTGATCTCCATGGAAAAAAATTGGTTATGGGACTGTGTGATGGACTGACTGCACCCCCATTCCCCATCACCCTGTGCAGCTGGTGGGGAGGAAGTAGAGAATTCGGGAATAAAGTTGAGCCTGGGAAGAAGGGATGGGTGGGGGAGGGTGTTTTTAAGGTTTGGGTTTATATCTCATTACTCCACTCTGATTTGATTGGTAATAAATTAATTTTTCCCCAAGTCGAGTCTGTTTTGTCCCTGATGGTAGTTGATGAGTGATTTCTCTCTGCCCTTATTTCAACTCATGAGCCTTTCATTATATTTTCTCTCCCCTATCCAGCTGAGGAGGGGAGTAATAGAGCGTCTTTGGTGAGCACTTGGTGACAGCCCACCACAATACTCTTAATGAAGGCTTTGAGTTGAGCTGTAACATCAGAATATTCTCATAAATAGAAAATAATAGATTCAGGTGATGAGAGATCTTTTGCTATCACTGAAAAAAAGTGGCTTACCACTATACTGTTTTTGTATTTCATCAAAAGGAATTTGAGGTTAACATTTTTCAAAAGATTCTCCTGTCCTGATACGATTTGAACTGGAAACACGAACAATTTAAACAATTTAAAATGAGACTCTGAATAGTATTTGTTAGACATCTAGTTTCTCTCTCCAGTTGACTACCATACTGTAGTTTTGAGCTGCACTCCTTGGATCCAATGTGCTTTATATCATTGGAAACTAAACAGAATCTGGTTACTGCCCCAACACTGGGGTCTGGGGAATGCGCTTGAAAGAAGGTTTCATATTTTAGCACTCTCACCCGTGTGCTTGAATCCACTATTCAACTGCCTAATGCAACTGAGCAGCTGCCTCGAGATCTCACTTTAGGTTAAAAACAATTTCCCAGAATCCTGGGCACTTTTCTTGAGATTTTTCCTGAGGAACACCATGACAGGTATGAGAGCATACCCAAAGACACTTGTAGAGGTTCTGAAGCCACTGTTGTCCTGTACTGTAACAGTGTGACATAATACTTCTATTATCTGTGCTAAAATCACACATCCCGAAAGTTTTACCCACTTTAGGTGTATCAGTCCCTCTGGGTTGTGTCTGGAACATGGTCCTGTGTCTTTCTGGTTTGCCCTTGAGCTACAGAGTCTTCGGCTAAACATGCTCATCTTTTAGTTGTATTGATCG